AGAGAGAGAGAGAGAGAGAGAGAGAGAGAGAGAGAGAGAGAGAGAGAGAGAGAGAGAGAGAGAGAGAGAGAGGGGCGGCGAAATTGCCGCGGCCCTCTGTGCAGGTCGCCGTCTCTCTCTCTCTCTTGTTTCGGAAGTCGAAAACGGGAATGAATCCTCCCGTTTTCGTGGGAAGATGCATTCCCATCTCTCTCTCTCTCTCTCTCTCTCTCTCTCTCTCTCTCTCTCTCTCTCTCTCTCTCTCTCCGCGTGCCGTTTTGTTTTTGAGCATTTTTTTATTTTTTGCTTTCGTTCGTTTTTTTATTTTGTGCTATCGTTCGGTTTGCTTTTTTCCATTGTGTGTCATTCCTGGAAGCACGGAGTCCGGCCAATCAGCAACGACTGGGCCTTCCCTTGGCCAACCCCCCTAAGGCTGCGGCGCATATACGGGAAGGCCCGCGGCCGATAGCTGGGCCAGGTACAGGTGGTGAAGTGCTGACCGCATTGCATAAGGAACAGTGGTGATTGGTGGAGAAAAAAAGAAAAAAAGAAAAAGGTCCATATATTCCCCCTTTTCAAGGGTGAAAGCCTTGCGCCCCTAGTGACCTCCCGAGGCACCCTTGCGATTTTCGTCTATTTGCCTGGGCCGCACTTCCGTTTCAAGGGCGGACACTTGGCCGCGGGGATCTGGAAACAATTTGCGACTTCAAGGGTGCGTGATTGAGGCGGGGTCGAACGACGCTTCCTTGAAAAACAGCAATTCCCCCCCCCCCCAAAAAAAAGCAATTTCGAAGTGGTGTCGAACGAGGCCCTGTGTCCGATGCAAAGGGATGATGACCATGTCGTGGCTAATCCACGACGTCCGTTTTGGTGACGGGCTGGCACCGAAGCTTCTGTTTGATCTCTTTCCAGGACCACAGGACATTTTGCACAGCCCATCTTCTCCCGCGCTCGCCTGCCTCTGCACGCCTCGCAGTGAAAAGTGAGGAGTGCATCTTCTCAGAGTAGGTGGCGTTTGACGTCTGCGCCTTTTTCTGAACATACACTCGCCGATTATTTTTGTGATTTTTTTTTTTCGGAATTTTGTGATTTTGTGATTTTTATTTTTTTACAAACCAACTTTGCAATTGAATTTTGTGATTTGTTTTTCTCAGGGCCAATTTCATGACAAAAAAAAAAAAATAGTGCTGCGAGATCCGTCGCCGGCAGAGTGGTTGAATCGCCAACCCACAAAAATGATAGGGGCCTGGTCGAAGCATTCACCAAATGTGTAAATTCGAGAATGCATCTTTGCTTAGAAGGGGCAAAATAGTAAAATATACTACTCCCGCCATAATTTGTCTTTTGCACATTTGGTGAGTGTTGCGTCGCCCCCCGCCCCCCAATACCACAATCATCAGTCCTGAGAATGTCCTGCAGGTTCGGAGGGTTGGCTGTGGTCGAGATTGGAGTTTGCTGCTTGATGGCCGTGGTCCCCACCATCACCATAGCCTAGACGGACCAGAGTACACGTGCACCCGTCCGTGTATGGACAGGCCAGAGTGCACCTGGCGTGTCTGAGGCTCTTTCACGTGGGGCCACGTGTGTATTCCATTGCTGTGCGGGGTGGGGGTGCAAGGAAGCGGAGAGCTTATTTTACACGTGGGGGTGCAAATAAGAGGAGAGTTTGTTATACACGTGGGCGTGCTAATGTGGGGTTATTATACTTGGGGGTGGCCGATGCCTTCACGTTGGAGTGCTGATGAGTGAGGGGTTGTACACTTGGAGGATCCAATGAGGGGTTGTACGCGTAAGTGTGGCCGACAAGGTTCAATTTCGAGAAGGATGTAAGGACGGACTCACGCCGAGGTGTATGGAACATCGGTACGTCTGACGGGATCTGGAGTCGCGACTGGGGATGATAATCCTGTTTCCAATTAGTTATCGCTCAAGTGATAAAGTCTTGCTATGTGGGAAAAAAAGGCAAAAATAAATAAATAAAGAAGGGAAAGTCTTGTACGTGAGGATAGCCCGAGGTGAGAGAGATTTTGGCGGGAGAATGGAAGAAGAACGCGGGTCGCAATCCAGAGGGAGATTCCGCGGCTGCTGAGGGAAATCACTCATCGGACGTGTAACTCTGCTGAACGCATTGAGCCGTAAATGTGGGCAGATTCACTCGAGAAAATCCTAGTGCTGCTCTGAGAGAGAGCGTTGCTCCCTTGGAGGTGCAGGCGGAGAAACAAGGGCGGAAGGAGAAAGGAGAGAGAGAAAAAAAACTATCCCTTTTGGCGGGAGAAGGGAAATAAGTTAGGAGCGAATGTAGTGGACAAGCTCTCCCGCCAAAATGCCGGTTCTCGTCAGTCTGTCGTGCCACAGCCAGCGTGATTGCGCACGGATCTCATCCCGCATTCCTCATCAATCATGAGAGATGTGGTGCTGGTTATACCGAGGTGAATTACCTGAGGTGGATGGAACGAAGCCCTGTGACATGAGTGGTAATTAAGGAACCGGAGAGAGTGATGCCACGTACGCTGACGTTGTTAACGTGACGTAGTAGATTAGCTGGCTGCCGGCTTGCGGTAGGTAGATAAGCGGCCTGCCTGCCTGCGATAGGTGAATAAGCTGTCTGCGGTAGGGGCCGTCTGATCTGATCGGGGGTTCCAATCCCTCGGCAGGTTTGGATAAGCTGAGGTGGATGGAACGAAGACGTGAGGCGTGTGAATGGCAATTAAGGAACCAAACCGAGTGATGCCGGCTATATTATATGCTGAGGTAGACTGAGCAGACGCTTCGCGCGCCGTCTGATCTGATCGGGGGTTCGAATCCCTCGGTAAGGTGAGGCAGGCGGATATGCTGAGGTAGGTTTACAAGGTTGAGGTGGATGAACTGTGCTATGGATAAGCTGAGGTGGATGGACCGAAGGCCGCGGGAGGTGTGAGTGTGACATTAGCGAGAGCCGAAGCGTGTGATGCCGGCTATGCTGAGGTGGACTCGGCAGAAGCTTCGCGTGTGATCTGATCGGGGGTTCGATCCCTCGGTAAGGTGAGGTACGCGGATATGCTGAGGTGGGCGGATGAACTGTGCTATGGATAAGCTGAGGTGGATGGACCGAAGGCGGCGTGAGGTGTGAGTGCCGTCAAGGAGCCGAACCGTATGAGGCCGGCCATGCCGAGGTGGACTCTTCAGACTCTTCGGGTCTGATCTGATTGATCGGAGGTTCGAATCCCTCGGTCAGGTGAGGTAGGTGGATAAAGCTAATTCAGTAAGATGGAAAGATAAAGCTGAGGTGGATGGAACGAAGGCGTGAGGTGTTTGATGGCAATTACTACGTAAGTAATTAAGGAACCGATTTGAAACACGGGAGCAAGGCTTGAGACTGCCCGTCTGGCAAACCAGAAACGACAACAGGCAATCTGTCGGCTTGATATGCCGGCAAATAGTCCCGGGAAAGAAAAAAAAAGGAAGTCGTATATGTATGCACACAGAGGACTGCCCGTCTGGTGAACTGTAAGGCAGAAAGGGAGAAAAGGACAAGCTGGGGGCTGTGACAGGATTGTTTCCGTTGGGCGTGTCATGTATATTGTCATATATACAATGTTTATGTCGCCATATTAATTTGTTTGACGATATAGATATATATGTTTATATTGTCATATTAATCTGTTTGACGATATATATATGTTTATATTGTCATATGCGTAGTTGTACGTGTGTGTATATCGTCGTCATATTGTGACCGGTTTCATATATGTACATGTGTGTAAATCGTAATATTGTGACTGGTCGGTGAAGCGTAGGCAGCAGAAAGGGAGACAAAGGAGAAGAAACGGGGGCCTGTGGCAGGGAGGTTCGTCGAAGATTCGTCGAAGATTCCCCGAAAGTTTCGTGGACTGATAAGGATATAAAACAGAAAAACCGCAACAGGAGGTGAAAAGGGAGGGAGGGGTAAGAAGGCGGCCAAGCAATCAAGGATGGGCGGAGGAGGCTGGGCCATTGCGCCTATGCCCGCCACGTGTTCCATAGAAGGCCGAATCCATCTCTGCTGGCAGGCTAATCAGGAGGTGCAACGGCTGGACCAGCGATGGCTTCTCAACCCGTATCACTCTCCGTGCACCACTGTGCGCTTCCGTGCGATGGCAGCCCGTCATAATCATCATCATCGTTGTCCTCCTCCTCGTGGTCATCCTCCTCCTCCTCCTCCTCCTCCTCATCATCATCATCATCAGGTTGCTTCCCCCCGGCGGCAGAGGAGGGATGCCGATTCCGTCTCTCACTCCTCCGCTTTCGCCGCCGCACTGAGCGATCGTGCGACTGACACGTGTCGGTCAATCTTCATCGGACGTGAAAATGGCGGGCTGGTTGGGAGGAGGAGGAAAAGATTGTCGCCGACGGATCTCGATGGACACGTGTCCTCTTGTGTATCTTCATCAGCTGATCGTGGGACAGGTGGGTGTGCTTCTGTTCGTTCCCCCTCCTTGCCACGTCTGGCAGCTGCTGTCACGTGTCACTCGCGCGGCGTGCGCTTTTCTTCCCTTTGCAATCGCGGCAATAAGGGGTGGGGAGGGTTTCGCGTGGATGGACAAGCAGCAAGTGACGCAGGCAGTGGGTTGTTAGCGACCCGACGGGGGATGCTCGTAGGCCGTTCTGGGTCCAGGAAAGTTTTCCACGTGGGGGGGGAGGATCGTCAAGAGACTGCCACGTGGCGACAGCGGAAGCATTGCCATTGGCGGGTACGAGACTTGCGAGGAGGAGTGGAGGAAGTGGGGGGGAGCTGTGGAGTGTGGACGGCCGCTGCTGCTTCTGCCGACATCAGTGGAAGAAGGGATGATGAGAGAGAGGACGCGAGTGAAAGGAAGAAGAGAGAACAGGTGGATGGAGTAGAGAAGGAGGAGGAGGAGGAGGAGGAGGAGGAGGAAGAAGAAGAAGATGTTTATGCGAATGAAGAGGCTATGGTGGAGTCGGAGGCGCGACTACAGCGGCTGGAAGTGCTTCTGCTGCTGACTAGACTTTATCGTGACGTGGCCAAGTCTGAGTGGGCGTTCGGAAACCCAATTCCAGAGGTGATGTCGGAGGAGAACAACGGCAAGGAAGACAGCAGAGGAGGGAGGAGGATCAAGGGATGGATGGCACGTGGATGGCTGGTGAAGGAGAAAGGAAAAGAGCATCTCTTTGTGTCCAGCCCCGTCGAAGTGCTTGATTACGTGGAGGGCATCAGACACCTGGCAGCGGATCTCAAACTGGACCTCAGAAACGTCGACGGCCTTCTGCCTGTCGTATTCCAGGTCTGTTTCGGTCAATTTTTGCCTTTCTCACCGGGTTGGATGTGCAGTATTTGATTCATTGATTGATGGATTGGATGATTGGATGAATGAATGAACCGGATGAGCGGAGGGAATCAGCACGCTGATGGATATACACATGGCACATTGCATGCATTGGATGCATGCGAATGGACACGCGTGCATGTCTGGATTGATGACTGAGCACGTGTTGTGCATGGCTGGATGATGGGCGACGCCGAACGCGTGTGCATGAATGGATGGATGGATGGAATGGATGGGTCGATGGATGGCTGTATATGGACGTTTTTGAAAGTGGATGATGAACACGTGGACGGTTTGATGGAGGAGTGTGAACCCATCGATGGATAAACTTATGGATGGATGGATCGTGGGATGAATGGTTGGACGAGATCGCTGATTAAGGAACGTGAACCCATCGATGGGTAAACTTATGGATCACTTATGGATATAAACTTGTGGATGAACTTGTGGATAAACAGATAGATGGATGGATCGTGGGATGAATGGCTGGACGAGCTCGCTGATGAGTGGCGGATGAATGGATGGATGGATGTATGGACGTTCTCGAAGGTGGATGATGAACACGCCGGCGGTTTGGTGGGGACCGGGAACCCGTGGATCACGGTGGATGGATAAATTTATGGGTAAATTGCCAGATGATCGATCGCCCCGATGTGTGGACAATGTTACTAATTATATACGGATGAATGATAAATGAACGGATGCATGCATGCATGCATGAATGAATGAATGAATGAGTGATTAGAAGAAGAAGAAGCAATGGCCGACACTTGCTGACGAACACGGAGTAGAACTATATTGCAATAAAGGAACGTGTTCCAAATGGATGGATGGATGAATGAATGGATAAGTGGATAAATGGATGAATGGATGGATATATTGAGATGATAAATGACGAGCGAGTGGATAATTGAGTGCAAAGACGAGGAGCTTATGAATGGATAGCTCAGTAGGCCTGATGAGTACGTTTGATTGACGAGTGATTGAATACATGCATGTGTCATCATTTATTAACAAAAATTAATTGTCGCAGAGCTATCGCGTAGGGGCACACAAGCGGAACTGCCGAAGGTTGATAGCTGTTCGACTACTCGTTCATTTTAATAGTCAATTACTTTAATGAATTATTATTAAATTAATAAATTGCGCAAGTAAAACTATCTAGCTGTGCGATGAGCAATTAACAGTACAAGTATCCTCCCCGCCTGATGACAGTGAATGATGGCACACATACATATCCCTTGGCCAAGTGGATGTGTAGAGTAGGTCTTATGCCTACTATGACAGACGACCAGTTTTTCAGACTTGCTGCCATTCTTGTCAGGGATTTGGACGATCACCCTGCTAGCATTGCAGTTGGGGTTGGTTGTGGGTAAAGTCGCCCACTTCTCTCTCTCTCTCTCTCTCTCTCTCTCTCTCTCTCTCTCAAGGAAGGGTATCTCTGCCAACCGTGCGTGATGTGTTGAGTCCTTACCCAACAGTTAAATGCCTCCTGCGTCAGACTGTCGGGGTTCGACCTCGTCCTGATGAGGCGGTGAAAAAAAGAAGTCCGACGAAAGAGTCAGGCACAGTCGTTCTGTCCTTTCCTGTGGAGTTGTGTAAAGGGGACTTGAGTTGACAACAACACACAGAACTCCTAACCAACTGATCAGTAGGGTTTGAACTCGTAGTAGTAACCTACCGATCCGTAGGTTAGGAGTTCAAACGCTATCGAAACCGCATGTCAGAAGGTACGCCCAAGGGATATGCGTAAACTGAATAAGAGGGAAGGGGGGGGGGGGG